AACTCACAGAGGCTATTTGTACTTTACATGTTCCCAGAACAGTACATCTCCAACAGCAAAATCTCTTTGGGTGTTGGGATCAAAAATATCCTGTAAAGAAAGCTAACTGCAAAAATAATGTGGTTTAAGAAAATGGTGATTTTTATATAGAAAGTAGAAGCACAGGGTATATTACTGAGGGGAACATTAATGAGAGGAATATCAAATTTAACAGTGACTCTGATCCGTGACATGTACCAGTTCATCTTTGCTTAATCAAGAATAAGAAAACTTGACCCGTGAAACCAGTTTAGCCTGGATGCAAAATGTTGTGAAAAAATAAAAGTTTAGTGAGTGCAGAAAGACAGTTACTTTGTGGAATTAAGACATGTCTAGGAAACATGTGACTGTTCACAAAATATGAATTGAGTAAAAGCCAGGGGCTGTGCAAACATTTTCATGAAGTGTTTCCATTAAACTCATCTTTCCACGAGTGAGGATTGGTTTGAGAAATTTAGGACAAACCTTCCTGCCTCCCCTGCTGGTAATGTGGCGCTAACAAGAGTGGCCACATCGGAGTTGCCTGTCTTCCCAGAAAGTTTTTTCTTGGCAGCTGAATATATCCCGAGAGGAGAAAGCTGAATGGACCAAGAATCTCCTGTCTGCTTTAGTGAGCATATGCGTTGTAAAGGGCGGGCAGTGAGCCTCAGGGTTTAAAGTGACTAAGGCTATTCCCCTTGTATTAAGAGAAACCTGGCGTATCTTCAAGGATACAGAGTTCCCTACAGCCCTTCCATATTAATGTTCTATGGCTGCACAACAAATTGCCATAAACTTAGCAGCTTAAAACAATGTGCGTTTATCCTCTTACTATTTCCCTGGGCCAGGAGTCCAGACATTACAGCTTGGTTTTTGCCCAGGGTCTCACAAAGCCGTAATCAAGGTTTTGATCGGGGTTGCATTTCTTTCCAGAGCTTAGATCCTCTTACAAATTCACGTCGTTTTTGGAAGAATTCACTTTCTGTAATTGTTGTACTGAGCTCCCCATTTTCTTACTGGCCATAAGCCAGGGATTATACTCAGAGGCCTCTTGTAGGTCTTTGCGGTATGGTCTTCTCACAGGATCTCTATGATCCTGAAAGGTAAAAGATGGCCCTTTGTAAGGGCTCAACTGATGATGTCAGGCCCATCCAGGATATTTCCTCAATTCAGTGTCAACTGGTCAGGGATGTTAATGCAGTTGCAAAATCTCTTCACCTTTGCTTTATCCCATCATATTCGCAGGTCCTTCCCACACTCAAAGGGCAGGGATTATACAAGGGCATGGGTCATTGAGGTCATTTTAGAATTCGGCTTCCTGTTTATTTTCTCACTGTGTTTTTCAGGGTCAGGAAGTGGAGACAAGATCCTCTAAATTCTCTGTAGCTGCTCCCAGACCATTACTCTTCTACCTCTAATTAAAAATCATGACAACAACAACAAATATAATAAACAAAACACTGAGACTTTGAGACTTGTGCCATTTGGCCTTTACACTGTCTCCCGTTTTATTGCCATCTTCTTCCATCCTCCTGGTGTCTCCCACGCCTTCATAAAGGACACTGGCACTTGACTTCCAGCCTTCCACTTTGTTGCAAGCCCATCCATTACGCCCATGTCTTCAGCTTCTGTGCCCCTCCATGGAGATATGTCGGGAGTCGGAAGGGAAGGAAACACAGCAAAGGGCATGTGTGTCAGCCCTTTGATTCTTTAAGTGAATTTTAGTGATACCAGGAAGACTATTTGTTTTGTATTTTATATAGTTTTTCTTTAGCTAGCTCAAAAAAGTTTTTGTTGTTATTTTGTTTAATGGCAACCTACCTTATTCATGGTGAGTGGTAAAGGATAGGGATCAGGGGCCATGTTGGAATAGGACTTTCGAGCCTGAGCGGCTCACCTCTGGGCCCTGGGCATGGTGTGGACTATAATTAGAGAGAGGAAGGAGGAAGCCCTGGAGGAAGGGGAAACGGGAATTGGCCAAGGCGCTAACTGGTCAACTTTCTAGAGCTACTGAGATAGCCCGAGTGGTCTGTTTTATTTTAACAATGGGGAGTCCATTTCCTTACACTGGGCTTCGGTCGGCAAGTACCAATCATGTTCTGAATTTGGTAAAGCCCTTAGAGGATGGTATCTTGAGTAGGAAGTTTGTCAGAGTCCATTTCTTCTTTCCTGGTCCTGCCTCCATTCTGGAGTGTTGTTCTGAGCCCACACTGGACCAGCGACTTCTTTGAACATCCGACCTGGTAGACTGATTGCAGAGAGGTTTCCCTAAATACCTTTATGAATGGTCAGAATTTAGCCTTTAGTGCACGGAATCTTGCTGTCTCAATTAGAAAGAATTTACCTACCGTTGTGGACCTTTTCCTATTTCATCTGTTGCCTATTTCTGCTTCTCTCCATAGTTCTGCAGCATGCGTCAGAGCAGTGACTCTGCCTGAACCTGGTGTCCCTTCTCCCTTTGTGACCTGAGGTGGAAGAAGGGGTTTGAGTGCTGCCTTGGACACTCAGTTCTCTAGAATGGCTGTGTCCAGCACTGTAGCCACTAGCCACATGCAAATATAAAAGTGAAATAGTAAACAAAATTAAGTAAGATAAAAAATTCAGGGGGTGACCAGTTAGCTCAGTTGGTTAGAGCATGGTGCTGATAACACCAAGGTTGCCGGTTCGATCCCCACATGGGCCACTGTGTGCTGTGCCCTTCTTAAAAAAGAGTCAACTATGCTGTTGTAGCATGAAAGCAATGTGTAACCAATGACCATGTCTGTTCCCCAATAAAATAAAATAAAATTATAAAAAAAAATTCAGGTCCTGCCTCACACTGGTCACATTTCAAGTGCTCAGTAGTCACATGGGACTGGCACTTACTATAATCGACAGCAGAGATATAGAACATCTCCACAATTGCAGAAAGTACTTGGGGACAGTGTTACTTTAGAATGCTTCTTTCTCTCTGGCCCCACAGCGGTGGAGATTCCAGTGTCCGGTCTTTTCTTGGGGTTGAAGCTCAGTTGACTCAGGTGAGACTTGGCTGTCTCACTGCTCTGAGACCTTTGGCAGCTTGGTTGCAGCTGCAGGTCAGCTTCCTGCAATATCCTGCTACCTCTACAGAAGGGTTTGAGGGTGGCCTAGAGAAGACGGGCTAGTCTGAAAGAGCTCCTTCATGGTGCTGGAAACGTCAGATACTAGTTTTCTATTGCTGCTGTGACAAATTACCACACACGTAGCCCCTTACCACACACATTTGTTATCTCACAGTTTATAAGTTAGATATCTGACACAGGTCTCAACTAGGCTAAAATCAAGATGTTGGCTGGCTTGTGTTCCTTTCTGCTCAAGGGGGAAATCTTTTTCTTGCCCCTTCAGGTTTTTTTGACTGAATTCAGTTTCTCAACTGTAGGTGTGAAGTCCTCTTTTCTTACTGTCTGCCAGCTCAGGGCTGTTCTCAGCTTCTAGATGCTGCCTGCATTCCTGGGCTCCTGGCAGTCTCCCTCCGTACTCAAAGCCAGTAAAGCCAGGTCGAATCCCTGTAGCACTTCATATGCTTCATGCATCTTCTTTCGTTAACATCTCTTTGACTTTAGCTGGGAAAGATTCTCTGCTTAAAAGGGCTCATGTGATTAGACTGGACCTACCCTGATAATCCAGGATAATGTCCCCATCTCAAAATCCCTGACATGAATCACATCTGCAAAGTCTCTTTTGGTGACTTATAAGGTAAAATATTATAGGTATATTTGGGAGGGGTGTTATTTGGCCTACCACATGCTTCTAGGTTGATTCTTTGCATGCTATTAAGCAAAAATAGCTTATTTGAAATGTAGTTTATTTGATGAGGATAATTAAGATCGTACCATCTTTGTGTAAATGATATTATTAATTTTGTTTGGAGACTAAGTATCCGGGGAAGCAGGAAACGTCAGGAAAAGAGTAGAGAAAATGAAGAAATGTTGAAAGTGGTACTTGGAGAAAACCTTTACTTATTGAACAACATGTTCTTTTGCTTCCCACGTGGTGAAACACACAACCCGGAGTAGTACAATTTGGAGGACATTGACAAACCATCACTAAGACATCTCTGAATTAACCATTTACTCATATTTCATCTTTTAAAATATGAGAAAACCTGGGCCGGCTGAATGGCGCATTCGTTAAGAGCTGGCTTGGGACGCCAGCTCTGAGCAGCAGGGCCCCAGTTCGGATCCCACATGAAGGCCAGTGACACTGCCCTCTCTATAGCTAAGATGGTGAAAAACAGCTCGACCTGGAGCTGGGCTGCCATGAGGCGACAGCGATGGTGTAGGCTGCAGCCCCTGCTGCAGTGGGCTGCCATAAGCTACCAGTGTGAGCAGCCGACAGCCGGTGTGAGCTGCCAGCAGCCCCCTTGAGCGGCTGTCCAGAGGCCGGCGACCGATCTGCCTTACCTGGGAAGAGCACAATGATAATACCAACATGGGCCAGTGAAGCAATGTCCTCCACAACTAGACTAAAGAACAAAACGACAGCAACTTGTCTGTTCCCCTTCCCCGATTCCCCAGTGCTATTCCCCTCCCCCAATTCCCCAATATAGTCTTAAAAAAAAAAAAAAGAGAAAACCTATACAAAAGTGGCATTATATTCATGAAGGTAAGTATCTGAAATTGAACAGTGTTAAAGAGAATAATCCTATCAAATTGTGGGTACTTAATGCAATATATTTAACAGCTTCCCCACATGTTAGGTTGCTTACTTTTTATTTTTATTATTCCTCAATAAAATCTGTTTATTTTAATGTTTGTTGCCATTCACATATTCACCATAGATTTCTTCCCTCATGTCTAATTTAGTGTGTAAATATTATATAAACACTTAGTTTAATTAAATGATTCTAGACTATTACCTATTTTAAATATGGTATAGTGATACTCTAATAAACTATACTTATAATATTTGAGAGTGAATGTAACATTTACCTTTCTCATCTTTCATTTTATTTATCTCATTAGCTAAGAAACCTTTCCAGCTTGGACCTACGTCATATCACTGAACTGGATAATGAAACCGTGATGGAAATTGTCAAGAGGTGCAAAAATCTTAGCTCTCTCAATCTCTGTCTAAACTGGATCATAAATGACAGGTAACAATTGTAACGTATTAAAAACATGTTTCCAGAAGAAAAGTGTGTTCTATGTACCAAATACTAATTATCATTATAACAAGGCATGTCAGCTTTAAGGAAAATTTAATGTAGCCAGGCCTTTTCAAATGATATGTTTAAGTTTTGAAAATCTTTTAGATGTATATTGTTAATCTATCCATTGCTTTTATTTGCAACAAGGTTTTTTGTTGTTGTTGTTTGGTTTTTTTGGTGCTAAGATTCAAATATTTGCCTAAAGTTATAATAATAGCAGACTGTTATTTTTTTTCTTTGTCATCCATTCAGGATATATTGCTTATTTGTCACTTTAATATTTTTGCAACTTTTGCGGTTGATTTTACTGCTCACTTATCAAGGAAAATGATTCTGAGAAACTATTTCAAACATTATACCTTCCGATCCTTTCTCAAGGATGACATTTTATTCTCTGTATAAACATAATTTGTTTTGAAAATGGGAGTCATGTAATGGACAATTTAATATATAGTGTAAGATGTGTAAATTGGGTAGTTTTTTCCTATAAACAAGGATAAATTATTTCTTTGAAATATTAAAGGAAAAAAAGATGCAAGAACCCTTGAAAGTAGACCTTTATATAAGGAAAATAACTGCAGAGTAGCACTACTGTACTCCTACTGATTGGTTTAGGTAGGTTCTTAAATATAGGCATGAGACAAGACTTTTGTCCAATTTCTTTTCAAGAATAAGTTTTTTTTTCAAGATAGGCCACCAGAAATATTTTGCTTTCAAAATAGAAAGCACTATTTCAGCTAAAACTAGAACCTGTTTAGATTTAAATATTTTTTTCACAAATAGCAACAGTACTTTATTAAGTTTGTGTCTGATAATGCTTTTAAATTCAAGACACTTTCCCCCTCCACTTTTTTTTTTAAAGATTTTTGGGGAGTTGGGGGGATGGGAACAGACAAGTTGCTGTCGTTTTGTTCTTCAGTCTAGTTGTGGAGGACGTTGTTTCACTGGCCCAAGTTGGCACCGTCATTGCGCTCTTCCCGGGCGAGGCAGATCAGTCGCCGGCTTCTGGACGGCCGCTCACTGNGGCTGCTGGCCGCTCACGCTGGCTGCTGGCTACACACAGTAGCCCATGGCAACCCACCACCACAGGGGCTGCAGCCTACGCCGTCGCCAGTGACTCATGGCAGCCCAGCTCCAGGTTGAGCTGTTGTTCAGCATCTTAGCTGTGGAGGGCAGTGTCACTGGCCCTCATATGTGGAACCCGAACCGGGGTCCTCTGGCGTCCCAAGCCAGTTCTTAACCATCGCGCCACTCGGCTGGCCCTCCCCCTCCACTTTTAATTTCCTTTTATACTTTAAAAATAAAATCACCTAGGCTCCATTTTCCCCAATTATGATAAATTCTATTGACATTTTCTTAAATTACTCTGCATTACTCTTTAAATTATGTGATAGCCATTGACTTGGCTCTTTCTTAATAAAATTTTTCCCGAAAAATTTACTAATCTGGAATGGACACATGGTCATCATTTATAAAAGGTGTTCATTGTTTTTGAGTAATAGCCACTGTATCAATTATATTGAACTCTAAAGAAAATCAATACAAACTTTAAAACTAAAATTTTTCTCTATAATCAACATTCTTCTATATAGTCATTTGTATGATGACTTAAAATAATCTTTTAAGTGTTTTTCCTAACAGCTAATAAAATAAAGTACATAAAAACATTATCCTGTGGTTTTAGGTATTTAACATTAGCTTGATATTAAGATAAACTTCTTAGTAATGCATCAAATTAAAAGGAGAAAACTGTTTCTGCAACAAAATGATTATGAAAATGATTGCTTTTCATTCCACAACACTTTGCTGAATACCTGTGGTGTGGAAGGGTCGGTACTTGGAGGCCACAGAGGTAAATAAGACGCAGTTCATATACGATTAGCAGGGCTATCTCCTAAGTAAACATTTTGCTTAAGTTTGTATCATTTAAGCAAAGGTATTCAGGGATTTCGAATCTTCTAGCTCTTCATATTGCTATTTTCGCCATAACTGGGTATTTATAAATGTAAAAATGGGCAGTCCTCACTTTGCCTTTTCTTCCCTTAGTTAGGCTCTATCTACTCCAACCTCTTGCTACTTCAGTCAGTTTTTTCCTACTTAACTGTAATGGCTATTTGGTATTTGATCCTAAATATATGTACTGTAGAGATTTATTTGCAAGGAATGAAAGTGTATTTTTATGTTTTTAATGGAAAAGTTTGAATTATTTGAACAAACATGTATTTTAATGAGTTTGAGCAGTGCAGTTTTAAAGAACAGACTCTTAGGTTTTAATTACACTACTTGCACTTATCCTGTGTACTGTAATAGAAGTTTCAAACATTAAAATCCACTTTGCGGTATCATCTAAATTACTCATCTCGTTGTTCTTGCCATACTCTATCACTAAGCTAAGTAATATTTGTAATTATATTGGTGTAAATCTAGGACTTCCCATCAGACTTAATTATAATTTTAGCACTTAGCCCAGATGGGTTAGTAACCTTTCATATCCAGGGCACTGGAATGCACTAATGCATTTAGCCTATCAATTAGCATCTGTTTTACATTTGTTCATTATTATTATCCTCTGCCAAATCAGAAAGCATTTATTAACCCCCTACTAAATACTAGGTATTGTGTCTCAGACTGTGGGGCACTGAGTCCCTGCTGCTCTCAAAGGTTGCTCCCTAGGTGACATCAGACTTTATCGAGTGAGATAATAGTGAGCCATGTGAGGATAAAGGGGAGGAAAGTAACCTTTACTACCCAGGTAATTGATAGGCACTTTACACGGTGTTCTCATTTAATTCTTTCAATATCTTTTGTTCAGCGGAAGGTCGTGCTATTCCTATTAAATTTAGACCATTTGTTTGACTTTTCTTTGGCTTTTCCGATGGATATATTTTTCTATCATTGCTGCAGTAGAAACTGGGCGAGGACAAATCAGTAAAAGCGAATGGCTAATGAGCCAGTTTTCCATTTCATAGTTGGGATTCATACACAATTGACATTTATATGTAAAATTTGTAGTGTTCTTTTTTAAACTAATCTCTTTAATTTCTTTCATAATTAAAGTATAATAGAACCTTTATATAATATTTTGTACATAGTATATAAAAAGGATCTATGTGTAATGCTGCTCGCTTTAATAAAGGAGTCCTCACATGAAGGTAAACTTTGATATTCTTCTCAGAACTTAGATATAAGATTTACCCTGGATTTTTAAAGTTCTTAGCTGTAAATTTTTTTTGAAGTTCAAAATTTTTACATGTGTAGTAATTGAAGGTCTTGACTCTTATGCTCATGGTACCTTTCAGCCTTTTTTGGTTCTTGAATTGATCGGTGTGACTAAGACATGCTGTTCTTTATCTTTGTTTTTTTCTAAAAGCACTTTTTGTGTTTAGAGAGTTAAACAGCATGATATTTTCTTGTATTCAGAAGGATGGTCTAGTAGTCATTTGACATTTACCGTTGCTTTTGAATACAAATAAAATCCAAGTGGTTTTTGAAAAGAAGACACTATTTCTATCAATGATATAAATTAAACATCTGGGTGTTGTGTCTCCTCCACTCTCTCTGACTCCAAGCTTATTGAAGTGTTTATTTGTAGTTGATATAAATCTTTTGGTATTTCACATCCAATTTGGTTTTCATCATTTTTATATGTTTGGCACAGAGTCCAAAAGCAACATGCTTTGGATGTAAAGAACTGATATATATATATAAAAAATTGAATGGTTCTGAGCTTCTTTGTAGTAATATGCTTATAATGGCTCTTTTATTCTTTTTTGCCAAGAAGAATTAAGTGAAATCTAATTGATGTTAAAAGATCTTTGCAAAAGACATATTTAATATTTAAATGGGCTATGAAAGAGACAATTAATCTCCCCATTTAAAATTTTTAATATTAGTTCTGAAAATAAAGGTGAGTCACATGGTCTATACACCCATTATCAAAGATATGGTTCTTTCATTGAATTAGGATAACAGTAGAGGATAATAATACAAGAGAAATGGAAGATTCTCTACCAGCTAAAGTCATAAAACATAACAAAAGCCAGGCTGGTTGTTAAAATAAATGATGTTGCCAACCAGTTGAACTTGCCTAGCTAGAGATTTATTCTTTGAATTTGCAGTTAAAAACAATGTTAAATTTGTTGAACATTCTTTCAGGAGCTAATTTGCTGTGCAAATCTTATATTTATGTAAACAGGGCTGTTGCACACTCTACCACTGGGAGAATTTTAATTCTTAGATTGCTGTGGCCACTTCCTTTCAAGTATAAAGTAACATTCACAAAATGTTGTTATTTCACTTTATATGCACTAATGTTTAGAATTAGTAACTATAGATATTTTCTCTTTAAATAAAACTTTTAAATAAGACCATTTCAAGTTGCAGACTGGTGGGCCATACATAGCTGAGTCCCATCCACAAAGCTGTTTTGTTTGTCCTATACAATACTTTAAAATCGAATTAGTTGCCGACACTTTAAAAATTAGGATAGTTCACATAAAAATTCTGAATTTGAGCCTTCTCTCAGAAAAGTTGCAGATCTAGCTACATTGGACTCTCATTGTCTCGTGGCAACAAACTTTTCAGGATGAGGAATGGGCTGTTCTTTTGGGCCATTCTCCATTTTTCCACTATTCCCACCTGCCTAGTTTACAAGTTGAGTTATCCTTAATTAAAATCCCGAATGTAGAGATTTTTAGATATTTCTTATTTTAAATCAAACAGTTTTTATGAATTGAGTCTGATAAAATATGTTAACAGTGCAATAGAGACTTAATTAGTCTACCTAAATTATTTCTTCATTATTTCAAGCTTCAGAACTTTGGCCAACAGGTGGCAGTTACAGAGGGAAACCATGTTCAGCTTAAAATAAGACAAAAGCCTTCATTTTCATCAACTGCCTTTCAAAATGGAGAACTCACTCCCACTTAGTGTTCAAACAAGAATTATAAAAAAGTTACTTGAATTATAAAGAAACTTGAACTAGTTTACCAAACTCCCTCTGACTTTAAGCCTGCGATTTAAATGAGTTTATTTGCAG